TCGATCCTATTCTCCATGGATGATAAGCCCGTTAAGCATCGATTTGGGCCAATTTATTTTCGGAAGGCATTTCGTAATTTCTTGGGCGACGAAAGGCCATTTTCTTTGGATATTGAAGGCTACAGATCACAGATTCGGCCTGAGGCTATTCTCCAACGATGATTGATTCCATTAAGCACAGACTTGGGCGGATTTATTCCGGGTCAATTTTTGGCATATTCCAATGGGGTACCAATACAGATTTCGGGCGATTTATTCGAAATGCCATTTTCTTTCGATTCTGGAGGCTACAGATTACATAATCAGGCCGAGGCTATTCTACACCAATAATGAAGTCTATTGATCCGATTCTCCACGGATGATAAGACCGTTAAGCATCGATTTGGGCCAATTTATTTTCGGATGGTATTTTCGTAATTTCTTGTGCGACGAAAGGGTATTTTCTTTTGATATTGAAGGCTACAGATCATAGATTTGGCCTGAGGCTATTCTCCAATGATGATTGAGTCCATTAAGCACCGATTTTGGCGGATTTATTCCGGGTCAATTTTTGGCAGATTCCAAAGGGGTAGTATCACAGATTTCGGGCGATTTATCCGAAATGCCATTTTCTTTCGATTCTGGAGGCTACAGATCACGGAATCAGGCCGAGGCTATTCTCCACCGATAATGAAGTCAATTGATCCTATTCTCCATGGATGATAAGCCCGTTAAGCATCGATTTGGGCAAATTTATTTTCGGATGGCATTTTCGTATTTTCTTGGGCGACGAAAGGCCATTTTCTGTGGATATTGAAGGCTACATATCACGGATTCGGCCTGAGGCTATTCTCCAACGATGATTGTGTCCATTAAGCACCGATTTGGGCGGATTTATTCCGGGTCAATTTTTGGCAGATTCCAAAGGGGTACCATCACAGATTTCGGGCGATTTATCTGAAATGCCATTTTCTTTCGATTCTGGAGGCTACAGATCACGGAATCAGGCCGAGGCTATTCTCCACTGATAATGAAGTCTATTGATCCTTTTCTCCACGGATGATAAGCCCGTTAAGCATCGATTTGGGCCAATTTATTTTCGGATGACATTTTTGTAATTTCTTGTGGGACGAAAGGCCATTTTCTTTGGATATTGAAGGCCACAGATCACGGATTCGGCCTGAGGCTATTCTCCAACGATGATTGAGTCCATTAAGCACAGATTTGGGCGGATTTATTACGGGTCAAATTTTGGCAGATTCCAAAGGGGTACCATAACAGATTTCGGGCGATTTATCCGAAATGTCATTTTCTTTCGATTCTGGAGGCTACAGATCACGGAATCAGGCCTGAGGCTATTCTCCAACGATGATTGAGTCCATTAAGCACATATTTGGGCGGATTTATTCCGGCTCAATTTTTGGCAGATTCCAAAGGGGTACCATCACAGATTTCGGGCGATTTATGTGAAATGCCATTTTAATTTGATTTTGGAGGCTACAGATCACGGAATCAGGCCGAGGCTATTCTCCACTGATAATGAAGTCTATTGATCCTATTCTCCACGGATGATAAGCCCGTTAAGCATCGATTTGGGCAAATTTATTTTCGGTTGGCATTTTCGTAATTTCTTGGGCGACGAAAGGCCATTTTCTGTGGATATTGAAGGCTACATATCACGGATTCGGCCTGAGGCTATTCTCCAACGATGATTGAGTCCATTAAGCACAGATTTGGGCGGATTTATTCCGGGTCAATTTTTGGCAGATTCCAAAGGGATACCATTACAGATTTCAGGCGATTTATCCGAAATGCCATTTTCTTTCGATTCTGGAGGCTACAGATCACGAAATCAGACCGAGTCGATTCTCCACCGATAATGAAGTCTATTGATCCTATTCTCCACGGATGATAAGCCCATTCATCATCAATTTGGGCCAATTTATTTTCGGATGACATTTTCGTAATTTATTGGGCGACAAAAGGCCATTTTCTTTGGATATTGAAGTCTACAAATCACGGATTCGACCTGAGGCTATTCTCCAACGATGATTGAGTCCATTAAGCACCGATTTGGTCGGATTAATCCGGGTCAATTTTTGGCAGATTCCAAAGGGGTACCATCACAGATTTCGGGCGATTTATCCGAAATGCCATTTTCTTTCGATTCTGGAGGCTACAGATCACGGAATCCGGCCGAGGCTATTCTCCACCGATAATGAGGTAAATTGATCCTATTCTCCACGGATGATAAGCCCGTGAAGCATCGATTTGGGCAAATTTATTTTCGGATGGCATTTTCGTAATTTCTTGGGCGACGAAAGGCCATTTTCTTTGGATATTGAAGGCCACAGATCACGGATTCTGCCTGAGGCTATTCTCCAACGATGATTGAGTCCATTAAGCACAGATTTGGGCGGATTTATTCCGAGTCAATTTTTGGCAGATTCCAAAGGGGTACCATCACAGATTTCGGGCGATTTATGTGAAATGCCATTTTCTTTTGATTCTGGAGGCTACAGATCACGGAATCAGGCCGAGGCTATTCTCCACTGATAATGAAGTCTATTGATCCTTTTCTCCACGGATGATAAGCCCATTAAGCATCGATTTGGGCAAATTTATTTTCGGTTGGCATTTTCGTAATTTCTTGGGCGACGAAAGGCCATTTTCTGTGGATATTGAAGGCTACAGATCACGGATTCGGCCTGAGGCTATTCTCCAACGATGATTGAGTCCATTCAGCACCGATTTAAGCGGATTTATTCCGGGTCAATTTTTGGCAGATTCCAAAGGGGTACCATCACAGATTTCGGGCAATTTATCTGAAATGCCATTTTCTTTCGATTCTGGAGGCTACAGATCACGGAATCAGGCCGAGGCTATTCCCCACTGATAATGAAGTCTATTGATCCTTTTCTCCATGGATGATAAGCCCGTTAAGCATCGATTTGGGCAAATTTATTTTCGGATTGCATTTTCGTAATTTCTTGGGCGACGAAAGGCCATTTTCTGTGGATATTGAAGGCTACATATCACGGATCTGGCCTGAGGCTATTCTCCAACGATGATTGTGTCCATTCTGCACCGATTTGGGCGGATTTATTCCGGGTCAATTTTTGGCAGATTCCAAAGGGGTACCATCACAGATTTCGGGCAATTTATCTGAAATGCCATTTTCTTTCGATTCTGGAGGCTACAGATCACGGAATCAGGCCGAGGCTATTCTCCACTGATAATGAAGTCTATTGATCCTTTTCTCCACGGATGATAAGCCCGTTAAGCATCGATTTGGGCAAATTTATTTTCGGATGGCATTTTCGTAATTTCTTGGGCAACGAAAGGCCATTTTCTTTGGATATTGAAGGCCACAGATCATGGATTCTGCCTGAGGCTATTCTCCAACGATGATTGAGTCCATTAAGCACAGATTTGGGGGGATTTATTCTGGGTCAATTTTTGGCAGATTCCAAAGGGGTACCATCACAGATTTCGGGCGATTTATCTGAAATGCCATTTTCTTTCGATTCTGGAGGCTACAGATCACGGAATCAAGCCGAGGCTATTCTCCACCGATAATGAAGTCTATTGATCCTTTTCTCCACGGATGATAAGCCCGTTAAGCATCGATTTGGGCCAATTTATTTTCGGATGACATTTTCGTAATTTCTTGTGCGACGAAAAGCCCTTTGGATATTGAAGGCTACAGATCACGGATTCGGCCTGAGGCTATTCTCCAACGATGATTGAGGCCATTAAGCACAGATTTGTGCGGATTTGTTCCGGTTCAATTTTTGGCAGATTCCAAAGGGGTAACATCATAGATTTCGGGCGATTTATGCGGAATGCCATTTTCTTTCGATTCTGGAGGTTACGGATCACGGAATTAGGCCGAGGCTATTCTCCACCGATAATGAAGTCTATTGATCCTATTCTCCACGGATGATAATCCCGTTAAGCATCGATTTGGGCCAATTTATTTTCGGAAGGCATTTTCGTAATTTCTTGTGCGACGAAAGGGTATTTTCTTTTGATATTGAAGGCTACAGATCACGGATTCGGCCTGAGGCTATTCTCCAACGATGATTGAGTCCATTAAGCACCGATTTGGGCGGATTTATTCCGGGTCAATTTTTGGCAGATTCCAAAGGGGTACCATCACAGATTTCGGGCGATTTATCCGAAATGCCATTTTCTTTCGATTCTGGAGGCTACAAATCAATGAATCAGGCCGAGGCTATTCTCCACCGATAATGAAGTCTATTGATCCTATTCTCCACGAATGATAAGCCCGTTAAGCATCGATTTGGGCCAATTTATTTTCGGATGGCATTTTCGTAATTTCTTGGGCGACGAAAGGGTATTTTCTTTTGATATTGAAGACTACAGATCACAGATTCGGCCTGAGGCTATTCTCCAACGATGATTGAGTCCATTAAGCACCGATTTGGGCGGATTTATTCCGGGTCAATTTTTGGCAGATTCCAAAGGGGTACCATCACTGATTTCAGGCGATTTATCCGAAATTCCATTTTCTTTCGATTCTGGAGGCTACAGATCACGGAATCAGGCCGAGGCAATTCTCCACCGATAATGAAGTCTATTTATCCTATTCTCCACGGATGATAAGCCCGTTAAGCATCGATTTGGGCCAATTTATTTTCGGATGGCATTTTCGTAATTTCTTTGGCGAAGAAAGGCCATTTTCTTTGGATATTGAAGGCTACAGATAACGGATTCGGCCTGAGGCTATTCTCCAACGATGATTGAGTCCATTAAGCACAGATTTGGGCGGATTTATTCCAGGTCAATTTTTGGCAGATTCCAAAGGGGTACCATCACAGATTTCGGGCGATTTATGCAAAATGCCATTTTCTTTCGATTCTGGAGGTTACAGATCACGGAATCAGGCCGAGGCTATTCTCCACCGATAATGAAGTCTATCGATCCTATTCTCCATGGATGATAAGCCCGTTAAGCATCGATTTGGGCCAATTTATTTTCGGAAGGCATTTTCGTAATTTCTTGGGCGACGAAAGGCCATTTTCTTTGGATATTGAAGGCTACAGATCACAGATTCGGCCTGAGGCTATTCTCCAACGATGATTGATTCCATTAAGCACAGACTTGGGCGGATTTATTCCGGGTCAATTTTTGGCATATTCCAATGGGGTACCAATACAGATTTCGGGCGATTTATTCGAAATGCCATTTTCTTTTGATTCTGGAGGCTACAGATTACAGAATCAGGCCGAGGCTATTCTACACCAATAATGAAGTCTATTGATCCGATTCTCCACGGATGATAAGACCGTTAAGCATCGATTTGGGCCAATTTATTTTCGGATGGTATTTTCGTAATTTCTTGTGCGACGAAAGGGTATTTTCTTTTGATATTGAAGGCTATAGATCATAGATTTGGCCTGAGGCTATTCTCCAATGATGATTGAGTCCATTAAGCACCGATTTTGGCGGATTTATTCCGGGTCAATTTTTGGCAGATTCCAAAGGGGTAGTATCACAGATTTCGGGCGATTTATCCGAAATGCCATTTTCTTTCGATTTTGGAGGCTACAGATCACGGAATCAGGCCGAGGCTATTCTCCACCGATAATGAAGTCAATTGATCCTATTCTCCATGGATGATAAGCCCGTTAAGCATCGATTTGGGCAAATTTATTTTCGGATGGCATTTTCGTATTTTCTTGGGCAACGAAAGGCCATTTTCTGTGGATATTGAAGGCTACATATCACGGATTCGGCCTGAGGCTATTCTCCAACGATGATTGTGTCCATTAAGCACCGATTTGGGCGGATTTATTCCGGGTCAATTTTTGGCAGATTCCAAAGGGGTACCATCACAGATTTCGGGCGATTTATCTGAAATGCCATTTTCTTTCGATTCTGGAGGCTACAGATCACGGAATCAGGCCGAGGCTATTCTCCACTGATAATGAAGTCTATTGATCCTTTTCTCCACGGATGATAAGCCCGTTAAGCATCGATTTGGGCCAATTTATTTTCGGATGACATTTTTGTAATTTCTTGTGCGACGAAAGGCCATTTTCTTTGGATATTGAAGGCCACAGATCACGGATTCGGCCTGAGGCTATTCTCCAACGATGATTGAGTCCATTAAGCACAGATTTGGGCGGATTTATTCCGGGTCAAATTTTGGCAGATTCCAAAGGGGTACCATCACAGATTTCGGGCGATTTATCCGAAATGTCATTTTCTTTCGATTCTGGAGGCTACAGATCACGGAATCAGGCCTGAGGCTATTCTCCAACGATGATTGAGTCCATTAAGCACATATTTGGGCGGATTTATTCCGGGTCAATTTTTGGCAGATTCCAAAGGGGTACCATCACAGATTTCGGGCGATTTATGTGAAATGCTATTTTCTTTTGATTCTGGAGGCTACAGATCACGGAATCAGGCCGAGGCTATTCTCCACTGATAATGAAGTCTATTGATCCTTTTCTCCACGGATGATAAGCCCATTAAGCATCGATTTGGGCCAATTTATTTTCGGATGACATTTTTGTAATTTCTTGTGCGACGAAAGGCCATTTTCTGTGGATATTGAAGGCCACAGATCACGGATTCGGCCAGAGGCTATTCTCCAACGATGATTGAGTCCATTAAGCACAGATATGAGCGGATTTATTCCGGGTCAATTTTTGGCAGATTCCAAAGGGGTACCATCACAGATTTCGGGCGATTTATCCGAAATGCCATTTTCTTTCGATTCTGGAGGCTACACATCACGGAATCAGGCTGAGGCTATTCTCCACTTATAATTAAGTCTATTGATGCTATTCTCCAGGGATGATAAGCCCGTTAAGCATCGATTTGGGCCAAAAAAATTTCGGATGGCACTTTCGTAATTTCTTGGGCGACGAAAGGCCATTTTCTTTGGATATTGAAGGCTACAGATCACAGATTCGGCCTGAGGCTATTCTCCAACGATGATTGATTCCATTAAGCACAGACTTGGGCGGATTTATTCCGGGTCAATTTTTGGCATATTCCAATGGGGTACCAATACAGATTTCGGGCGATTTATTCGAAATGCCATTTTCTTTCGATTCTGGAGGCTACAGATTACAGAATCAGGCCGAGGCTATTCTACACCAATAATGAAGTCTATTGATCCGATTCTCCACGGATGATAAGACCGTTAAGCATCGATTTGGGCCAATTTATTTTCGGATGGTATTTTCGTAATTTCTTTGGATGACGAAAGGGTATTTTCTTTTGATATTGAAGGCTACAGATCACAGATTTGGCCTGAGGCTATTCTCCAATGATGATTGAGTCCATTAAGCACCGATTTTGGCGGATTTATTCCGGGTCAATTTTTGGCAGATTCCAAAGGGGTACCATCACAGATTTCGGGCGATTTATCCAAAATGCCATTTTCTTTCGATTCTGGAGGCTACAGATCACGGAATCAGGCCGAGGCTATTCTCCACCGTTAATGAAGTCAATTGATCCTATTCTCCATGGATGATAAGCCCGTTAAGCATCGATTTGGGCCAAAAAAATTTCGGATGGCATTTTCGTAATTTCTTGGGCGACGAAAGGCCATTTTCTTTGGATATTGAAGGTTACAGATCACAGATTCGGCCTGAGGATATTCTCCAATGATTGATTCCATTAAGCACCGATTTGGGCATATTTATTCCGGGTCAAATTTTGGCAGATTCCAAAGGGGTACCATCACAGATTTCGGGCGATTTATCCGAAATGCCATTTTCTTTCGATTCTGGAGGCTATAGATCACGGAATCAGGCCTGAGGCTATTCTCCAACGATGATTGAGTCCATTAAGCCCGATTTGGGAGGATTTATTCCGGATCAATATTTGGCAGATTCCAAAGGGGTACCATCACAGATTTCGGGCGATTCATCCGAAATGCCATTTTCTTTTGATTCTGGAGGCTACAGATCACGGAATCAGGCCGAGGCTATTCTCCCCCGCTAATGAAGTCTATTGATCATAATCTCCACGGATGATAAGCCCGTTAAGCATCGATTTGGGCCAATTTATTTTCAGATGGCATTTTCGTAATTTCATGTGCGACGAAAGGCCCTTTGGATATTGAAGGCTACAAATCACGGATTCGGCCTGAGGCTATTCTCCAACGATGATTGAGGCCATTAAGCACAGATTTGTGCGGATTTGTTCCGGGTCAATTTTTGGCAGATTCCAAAGGGGTAACATCATAGATTTCGGGCGATTTATGCGGAATGCCATTTTCTTTCGATTCTGGAGGTTACAGATCACGGAATCAGGCCAAGGCTATTCTCCACCGATAATGAAGTCTATTGATCCTATTCTCCACGGATGATAATCCCGTTAAGCATCGATTTGGGCCAATTTATTTTCGGATGGCATTTTCGTAATTTCTTGGGCGACGAAAGGCCATTTTCTTTGGATATTGAAGACTACAGATCACTGATTGGCCTGAGGCTATTCTTTAATGATGATTGAATCCATTAAGCACCGATTTGGGCGTATTTATTCCGGGTCAAATTTTGGCAGATTCCAAAGGGGTACCATCACAGATTTCGGGCGATTTTTCCGAAATACCATTTTCTTTCGATTCTGGAGGCTACAGATCAATGAATCAGGCCGAGGCTATTCTCCACCGATAATGAAGTATATTGATCCTATTCTCCACGGATGATAAGCCCGTTAAGCATCGATTTGGGCCAATTTATTTTCGGATGGCATTTTCGTAATTTCTTGGGCGACGAAAGGGTATTTTCTTTTGATATTGAAGGCTACAGATCACATATTCGGCCTGAGGCTATTCTCCAACGATGATTGATTCCATTAAGTACCGATTTGGGCGGATTTATTCCGGGACAATTTTTGGCAGATTCCAAAGGGGTACCATCACGGATTTCGGGCGATTTATCCGAAATTCCATTTTCTTTCGATTCTGGAGGCTACACATCACGGAATCAGGCTGAGGCTATTCTCCACCTATAATTAAGTCTATTGATCCTATTCTCCACGGATGATAAGCCTGTTAAGCATCGATTTGGGCCAAAAAAATTCCGGATGGCATTTTCGTAATTTCTTGGGCGACGAAAGGCCATTTTCTTTGGATATTGAAGGCTACAGATCACATATTCGGCCTGAGGATATTCTCCAATGATTGATTCCATTAAGCACCGATTTGTGCGTATTTATTCCGGGTCAAATTTTGGCATATTCCAAAGGGGTACCATCACAGATTTCGGCCGATTTATCCGAAATACCATTTTCTTTCGATTCTGGAGGCTAAAGATCAATGAATCAGACCGAGGCTATTCTCCACCGATAATGAAGTCTATTGATCCTATTCTCCACGAATGATAAGTGATGCTCTAAAACACAACACCTAACAATGTCCAAGTGTAACCAATGAAAGGGACTGCAGTATAGTGGCACAAGTAATAAATATCGAATCCACGGGTCTCTAGAGTTACTATTACTCAGCTTCAGTTCATTATCTAGCAAACTAGATTAAGGATTGATTAACTAAACTACTCTACTAACTAAACTAAGTAAAACTACTAATTACAGTTTGGGAACTCACTTAGGTATGATTCCCCCTAGCTCCTCAATTAGGTCCAAGTTGTAATTCATTTTGGTTGATTTACTGTTGATTAAACTGCGGAAGATCCGACAGTAACTTGGAATCTCTTAAGCTGACCAAGCCCTCTCAGTCTAACTATCCGGCAGACGACTAGTCTTCACCGGGATAGAAAGCTGAAGCAATAAGCACAGAACTCCACTACTGGAATTGGATTCCAGTACAAAGCAGTAAACTGGCTAACTCTCGTATATCCAATCTCCTACTACCGAATGATGAGACTCTAGCAACCTAATCAGATTCTATCCATCTTAGATTGCAGCAGGAATCAGGAAAAGTTGATCAGACTTCAATTGACTCAATAAACATGCATCATTCGATTATAATCAAACAATATAGCATCCAAAACTTCATACAAGAAAGATCCTAACTCATGGAACTAAAGTTCCTCAAAACCTAAGTGAAGGGAAGTTACTCCATAGAGAAGAGAGAGACTGCAGAAATCTGATCTAGATCTTCAATCTCCATCTCCAAGCTTGATTCTCGAGCTCCAATGGCGAAGAAATCCTCCAAAATAGCTCCAAGAATGTTCCCAAGTCGCTCTCTCTCTCTAGGGTTCGTCCCTTGGGTGTTTGGGATCCAAAACCCAGCTCTCTCTACTCTTTGGTTCGGAATTTGGCTTAAAACCAGGAAATCCCGACTCGCACGGCCAGGGTGCACGGCCGTGCATATCACCATTCTGGCCGTGCAACTCAAAACGCAGCGTGTCATTTAGTCGAACTTCAGCCCTCTCGCACGGCCAGGGTGCACGGCCGTGCGAGCTTCAGGGGTTGCCCGTGCGTGTCCTCGGCATAAGGCGCATGGCCATATTGCTCACGTGCACGGCCGTGCAGCCTCCCTGGTCTGCCCGTGCAGCTCCCCAAAAACCTCGCCATTCGTCCGTTCTTCGTCCAATCGACCCCAGACTCGCTCCTAAGCCTTCATTCACGTACTAGAACCTGAAACATCACAAACAAGCACAACCTAGCGTGAAATCGGCCTAAAACACGAGAATCAACACCTCAAACGGTGTAAGAATGGGGGTAAAAACATGTGTAAATGACGGTATATCAATAAGCCCGTTAAGCATCGAGTTGGTGCAATTTATTTTTGGATGGCATTTTCGTAATTTCTTGGGCGACGAAAGGGTATTTTCTTTTTATATTGAAGGCTACAGATCATAGATTCGGCCTGAGGCTATTCTCCAACGATGATTGAGTCCATTAAACACCGATTTGGGCGGATTTATTCCCGGTCAATTTTTGGCAGATTCCAAAGGGGTACCATCACAGATTTCGGGCGATTTTTCCGAAATACCATTTTCTTTCGATTCTGGAGGCTACAGATCAATGAATCAGGCCGAGGCTATTCTCCACTGATAATGAAGTCTATTGATCCTTTTCTCCACGGATGATAAGCCCGTTAAGCATCGATTTGGGTCAATTTATTTTCGGATGACATTTTCGTAATTTCTTGTGCGACGAAAGGCCATTTTCTTTGGATATTGAAGGCCACAGATCACGGATTCGGCCTGAGGCTATTCTCCAACGATGATTGAGTCCATTAAGCACAGATTTGTGCGGATTTATTCCGGGTCAATTTTTGGCAGATTCCAAAGGGGTACCATCACAGATTTCGTGCGATTTATCCGAAATGCCATTTTCTTTCGATTCTGGAGGCTACAGATCACGGAATCAGGCCGAGGCAATTCTCCACCGATAATGAAGTCTATTTATCCTATTCTCCACGGATGATAAGCCCGTTAAGCATCGATTTGGGCCAATTTATTTTCGGATGGCATTTTCGTAATTTCTTTGGCGAAGAAAGGCCATTTTCTTTGGATATTGAAGGCTACAGATCACGGATTCGGCCTGAGGCTATTCTCCAACGATGATTGAGTCCATTAAGCACAGATTTTGGCGGATTTATTCCAGGTCAATTTTTGGCAGATTCCAAAGGGGTACCATCACAGATTTCGGGCGATTTATGCAAAATGCCATTTTCTTTCGATTCTGGAGGTTACAGATCACAGAATCAGGCCGAGGCTATTCTCCACCGATAATGAAGTCTATCGATCCTATTCTCCATGGATGATAAGCCCGTTAAGCATCGATTTGGGCCAATTTATTTTCGGAAGGCATTTTCGTAATTTCTTGGGCGACGAAAGGGTATTTTCTTTTGATATTGAAGGCTACAGATCACGGATTCGGCCTGAGGCTATTCTCCAACGATGATTGAGTCCATTAAGCACCGATTTGGGCGGATTTATTCCGGGTCAATTTTTGGCAGATTCCAAAGGGGTACCATCACAGATTTCGGGCGATTTATCTGAAATGCCATTTCCTTTCGATTCTGGACGCTACACATCACGGAATCAGGCATAGGCTATTCTCCACCGATAAATAAGTCTATTGATCCTATTCTCCACGGATGATAAGCCCGTTAAGCATCGATTTTGGCCAAAAAAAATTTTGGATGGCATTTTCGCAATTTCTTGGGCGACGAAAGGCCATTTTCTTTGGATATTGAAGGCTACAGATCACAGATTCGGCTTGAGGCTATTCTCCAACGATGATTGATTCCATTAAGCACAGACTTGGGCGGATTTATTCCGGGTCAATTTTTGGCATATTCCAAAGGGGTACCAATACAGATTTCGGGCGATTTATTCGAAATGGCATTTTCTTTCGATTCTGGAGGCTACAGATCACAGAATCAGGCCAAGGCTATTCTACACCAATAATGAAGTCTATTGATCCTATTCTCCAAGGATGATAATCCCGTTAAGCATCGATTTGGGCCAATTTATTTTCGAATGGCATTTTCGTAATTTCTTGGGCGACGAAAGGCCATTTTCTTTGGATATTGAAGGCTACAGATCACGGATTTGGCCTGAGGCTATTCTCCAACGATGATTGAGTCCATTAAGCAACGATTTGGGCGGATTTATTCCGGGTAAATTTTTGGCAGATTCCAAAGGGGTACCATCACAGATTTCGTGCGATTTATCCGAAATGCCATTTTCTTTCGATTCTGGAGGCTACAGATCATGGAATCAGGCCGAGGCAATTCTCCACCGATAATGAAGTCTATTGATCCTATTCTCCACGGATGATAAGCCCGTTAAGTATCGATTTGGGACAATTTATTTTCGGATGGCATTTTCGTAATTTCTTGGGCGACGAAAGGCCATTTTCTTTGGATATTGAAGGCTACAGATCACAGATTCGGCCTGAGGCTATTCTCCAACGATGATTGAGTCCATTAAGCATCGATTTGGGCGGATTTATTCCGGGTCAATTTTTGGCAGATTCCAAAGGGGTAACATCACAGATTTCGGGCAATTTATTCGAAATGCCATTTTCTTTCGATTCTGGTGGCTACAGATCACGGAATCAGGCCGAGGCTATTCTCCACCGATAATGAAGTCTATTGATCCTGTTCTCCACGGATGATAAGCCCGTTAAGCATCGATTTGGGCCAATTTATTTTCGGATGGCATTTTTCGTAATTTCTTGGGCGACGAAAGGCCATTTTCTTTGGATATTGAAGGCTACAGATCACGGATTCGGCCTGAGGCTATTCTCCAACGATGATTGAGTCCATTAAGCACCAATTTGGGCGGATTTATTCCGGGTCAATTTTTGGCAGATTCCAAAGGGGTACCATCACAAATTTCGGGCGATTTATCCGAAATGCCATTTTCTTTCGATTCTGGAGGCTACAGATCACGGAATTATGCCGAGGCTATTCTCCACCGATAATGAAGTCTATTGATCCTATTCTCCACGGATGATAAGCCAGTTAAGCATCGATTTGGGCCTATTTATTTTCGGATGGCATTTTCGTAATTTCTTGGGCGACGAAAGGCCATTTTCTTTGGATATTGAAGGCCACAGATTACGGATTCGGCCTGAGGCTATTCTCCAACGATGATTGAGTCCATTAAGCACCAATTTGGGCGGATTTATTCCGGGTCAATTTTTGGCAGATTCCAAAGGGGTACCATCACAGATTTCGGGCGATTAATCCAAAATGCCATTTTCTTTCGATTCTGGAGGCTACAGATCACGGAATTAGGCTGAGGCTATTCTCCACCGATAATTAAGTCTATTGATCCTATTCTCCACAGATGATAAGCCCGTTAAGCATCGATTTAGGCCAATTTATTTTCGGATGACATTTTCATAATTTCTTGTGCGACGAAAGGCCATTTTCTTTGGATATTGAAGGCTACATATCACGGATTCGGCATGAGGCTATTCTCCAACAATGATTGAGTCCATTAAGCACCGATTTGGGCGGATTTATTCCGGGTCAATTTTTGGCAGATTCCAAATGGGTAACATCACAGATTTCGAGTGATTTATTCGAAATGCCATTTTCTTTCGATTCTGGAGGCTACAGATCACGGAATCAGGTCGAGGCTATTCTCCACCGATAATGAAGTCTATTGATCCTATTCTCCACGGATGATAAGCCCGCTAAGCGTCGATTTAAGCCAATTTATTTTCGGATGGCATTTTCGTAATTTCTTGGGCGACGAAAGGCCATTTTCTTTGGATATTGAAGGCTACAGATCACATATTCGGCCTGAGGCCGCTTGTTTTCAACTAAGAGAGATTTCTTTTCTATGCACGCTTAAAGAATATAATTTTTGTGATGAATGATGAGTACTTCTGGACAGTCCATTTAGGATGTTGTTTCTACTTTATGCCGCACATTACAGTACATACGATATTTAGCGTACTCGTATATAACTCTTTAGAAATTATTGTATCTGTTTTTTTTATAATTAATTGAAATACAATTTTAAGGTTGTGTTCATCCTTTTTAAGAGTGGTTTGGGTAAGAGGGAGTGATCACACAACTCACATCCACATGGACATGGCATAAACTTTGGGGGAGGTTCCTTTCAAAGATGTGTTCTGTTTGCTTTGGCACACACACTATAAAAATTTAACAATTTCCCCAACCATTGATTTGAGTAATCCCTAAGCCACCACAAAATAATAAATCATTGTAATAAAATCAAAATTACCCAAATAATATGTTTCCTCTTTTTCGATAGTGGCACTTATTATCATAGTAGGCATGTGATGACACCTCACTCTCTATAACTACTATGACTTAAATGACATTATTGGGATTTATTCAATTTTTTTATTTTTGAGACATCCCATTGAATAGTGTATGTGTCAATTCAACTACAAATGGACCATATTGTGCCTACCTACACAATTCAACTACAACAACAGATTTTGACCAAACATTTGTCTATGATGAAATTTCAAAGTTTTCTAGATACTGGGGGCTTATCTACTCTAACAAAGGTTTTATTATAGTAATTTCGAGTTCAACAGGTTAAAGATCAAACATTTTCGTTTTGGTGTCGAAAACCTGTCTTTATGATGAATATTGGTTTGACTGTTAAATGAGATACATACTTCGTAAGTATGTACTTTAGGAATTTTACTTTTGTCAAATCGTGAAAGGAATGGTTACATCAAGCAACATGCATTGGATTTACAGTTGGATATTTTATCTCTCGCCTCATGTTTCGGTTGGGCGAGTATATAAAACACAATTAAAAATGATAATGGGGTCGGTTAAGATAATTAATCATGGAACGATGGTCAAACCAAGTCAATCCATATGATTACGTAATTTAAACGAAAAATATTTGAAATATTGTTTTTCCATTAAAAAATAAAGAAACAAACTATAACATGATAAATGTAGTTAAATTATTCGAAAAATTAAGGTACTGTAATTTTAATATAGAAAAAAATTTATTTGAATAAAATATAAGGATCATTTAATATTTAATATCTCTAATTAGAAAAATTATTAGAAGGGGAAAGAAAATCTCATGTGTGGAATGTTACAGACAGCGCGGCCGGTGACAGTGCCATGCAAGCAAAGCACGGCTTTGATTAAATAATAAATCACGCGTTAATTTTCCGTCCAGCTGGAGATCACGGTTCACGTTGATGACGTGGCGAAATCAGAGAGGACTAGAGGAGGAAAGAAGATGGAGTTACCGTGGAAGCGGCTGTAGGGGAGCACAAGCCATTTGGACTGTGTGGCAGTAAGGTTTCCTCGTACGACGCCGTAACTGTGAAAGTGTGGGGACAAGAAGAAATGTCAACTAGCCTCCAACAAGGGCATGACAAAATTACGTTTTCGTGATTAGCACAAATGTTGTTAGCACTTTTAGTCCCTCCAAATTTTTATTTTTTCAAATTTCTTTATGATTGGAGCCACTCCTAGATGAAGGGGGAGTTTCCATGCTATAGTTGAAGATATCCACCATGAGGGTGGTAACAAGAAGGCTCGGAAATCGATCCCGTCATTTGCCAGGGGAGATGCCAACTATCTTTCTTTTTTACGAATACGCATTCGAAGTTCACGTTGTACTTAACATTAATTATCTAATATAGCATTCACTAAATTAATATGACGAATAATGAGTATTCGTGCATTATCCATGTACCTGATCTATTACGAAGAATACCAAGAAAAAGATTTAAAACAAATGTAGAAACTCGAAACCACATTACCATTCTCACATCAGACCCATTATGAAGAGATATGAGTTTAACATTATATATATGATATCATTAAAAAAATTAGCTAGAACTCGAGAGAATTGCTGCTCTCTACTAACTTTTTTTTGTCTACTATTTGGAGAAATAACTATAAGCAAGCACAGGTAAGATCATTATTGGGAGACATTTAAATACAATACGTATGTTTTAACCATATGTATTTTTGGGTAATTCTTTGGTTAGAGTTTAGCTTCTTTAACACAATCAGAGTAATACTTTAGGTTAACATATTCAATATCGAAAAACCGAATGTACATTTAAACAAGTGATGGTACGTTGAATGTTTAGTGAATGCATCTTTATTTCAAGATACGTAGCGCCCATCAAAACGAAGGAAGGTAGTCATTGATGGACTAATTTGTATAAGCTTCAAATGACAAGGACTTGAAATGCTATAGAAATTACGGGTGGGACTACCCAAAAATAAGAAGGTTTTGCAGGGACAAGCACGCCGTCTAAACAATTGACAGGGAATTTATTATTTTTATAAAAAATTGCGGGTCAATTTAATACGGAAATAAAAGATAAAAAATACAGAATAAAAACAAATGATTTCTATTAAATTTTCGTCTACGACGCCGACGACCCAACAAAAAACCGAGCTCCTCAACTCAATTCCTCTCTGAAAAGTAAAGAGAGGAAAAGAGAGTTTCCATTTCCAATTCTCTGAGTCAGATTGTCATCATTTCTCCACCGACCCTTTCCCATCTCTTCTTCCTCCGTATTCGTTTCAGCTCAGGTGTTCTCCTCGCCCAATTCACCTGTGTCAGGGCGGGAGTTCCATCGCTTGGGAATCTTTTTTTTTACAGCTCTCAGTTGGTAATGCAATCCTTGACTTGAAGACACCTTACTTTTCTATTCGTCTAGTTGGGTTTTCTATTCTGGGTAGGTTTGTTTTGGTGAGATCCTTTTTGGGGTCTTTTGGTTTTTTTGTTGGTGTCTGGAAATCGATTCTGCTGCTGTTTGTTTTCAGCCAAGAGTTGGGGTTTCTGCTTTCTGTGGTTTGCGATTATCTAGGTTCTGGGTAGGTCTGTAAAGTTTGTTTCTTTGCTTTCTTTCGGTTGTTGTGGAGCTTGGGAGTTATCGTTTTCCTTGTGTTTTTCTAGTCAGTGCTTGGTTTGACTGTTGGCGAATGTTAGGTTTTGTCGATTGTTGGGATTCTGGCTTGGATCTATCTAGATATGAACTCTAAGTTGCTGATTGTGGTTTAAAAGTTCATTTTTTTATACTTTCTTGTGGGAGGATTATGTTCATCTTTCCGAGGATGTTAACAGTGTTAAGTTTTGCAGAATTCTATTGATCAAGTGAGAGAAGATGTCAGGAGGTGGAACTCAGAACAGCTTGAGGAAGGCACTTGGATCCATTAAAGATACCACCACTGTTTCATTGGCTAAAATCAATAGCGATTACAAGGTAGACTAGTTGAGAGTTATAGTGAATTTAGGACTATGGTTGTTAAAGTTTCCCCTTTTTTCATGTCATTGATCTGTTTGCTCTTGTTACTCTTTCATTCCCCAGGAATTGGACATTGCTATAGTGAAGGCCACAAATCATGTTGAAAGACCAGCGAAGGAGAAACATATAAGAGGTGGGTGATTTTGTGCCAATTGTTTTGCCTCTTCAAGCCATGGAAATTCTTTCAATCCTTTGGCTTCTTGTGGCTGTAACTTTTTGAGGGAGAATTGTCTGAGCAACATCAAGCTCACGTGGTTTCCTAAATCTTTTTGCAGCTGTTTTTGCTGCTATTTCCGCTACCAGACCTCGTGCTGATGTTGCATATTGCATCCATGTTCTTGCCAGAAGGTTGGCAAAAACGCATAACTGGGCGGTAGGTGTTTATCTATTGTTTACTGTCTTGTTCTGATCGGAGACATACTAGAGTGGTGTTCGTTGTGGTAGAACATCTCTCTTAAGCCAAGTGGCTACCGTGTAGATAAGTTCAGGCATGTAACTCTATCAGTATCAGCCATGAAATAGCTTACGTGGTAGCTGATTTCGTTTCTGTTGTATTGTGGTCCGTGCTTAAAATTTTCTATTATTTGCATTATTCTCTCTTGTATTGATGGACTGAATATCTCTGACTTTAGGTTGCCTTGAAAACTTTGGTTGTCATCCATCGAGCTTTGAGAGAAGTAGACCCTACATTTCATGAGGAGCTCATCAATTATGGCAGAAGCAGAAGTCATATGCTCAACATGTCGCATTTTAAAGATGATTCCAGCCCAAATGGTATTGTTTTTTTTTTCTGTCTGAATTTTGTGAGCTGACTGTTTACTTAGATGACTGCTACACTGATGATTCTTATGCATCATGTAGCATGGGATTATTCTGCTTGGGTTCGCACTTATGCGTTGTTTTTGGAGGAGAGGCTGGAATCTTTTCGGGTTTTGAAGTATGACATTGAGACAGATCGACCAGTACGTTCTCTCTCTCTCTGTTATTTCATTCTGCTCTTAACTATTTCTGCATGTGTTCCTATATCATTTTTAATCGCTCCTGATGATTGAAGTCTCAGTTAATAGTAGGTGTCCGTCATCCTTGACTAATTCGTTAATAAACCTTTAGCAGAGGACTAAAGATCTGGAAACTGCTGAATTACTGGAGCAATTGCCAGCGTTGCAGCAGCTTCTTTTCCGTGTCCTTAACTGTCAGGTACCAGCTAAAGTTGCTAAATACTAGTGAGGGTTTAACAGAAGAAAGACACTTATTCTTTTCATTCCATCTTTACTGAAGCAATATTTGGTTCTTTTTTAACAGCCTCAGGGAGCTGCTGTTAGTAACTTCATCATCCGCTTGGCACTCGCAATGGTAGGAGAAAGTTTTTAATGTCTTTTCTTCTCAAGTTAGTGGATAAGAGTTAGTAATCTTCTTTGTTTTATGACTTATCATTTTCTTTCATGCCATTTTCTAATAGGTTGCTTCGGAAAGTGTCAAGATCTATCAAGCTATAACAGATGGAACAGCAAATCTAGTCGACAAGGTAGTAAATGATCTGGATTTTGGTCCTTAATATCTGATGTTATAATGTTCCAATATTAACTTTAGCTTTATTAATGACAGTTTTTTGAGATGCCACGTGCTGATGCTGTGAAGGCTCTGGACATATATAGGAAAGCCTGTCAGCAGGTAATTTTTTTTTGTTACTTGAGATGTGGAAATTTCATTCAAGAGTCTCCGTTTGAGACATTTGAATTTGTTTTTCAGGCAGAGAGACTGTCGGAATTTTATGAGATATGTAAAAGCATGGATATAGGGCGTGGAGAACGGTTCATTAAGATTGAGCAGGTTTTGAGATTCTCTCTTGCTTTATCATCTCTGCAATTTTCTATATTCATTTGTTCAATTTTTTAAGTGAATTTGTTTCTGGTGATGATGCAGCCTCCTGCATCTTTCTTGCAAACAATGGAAGAGTATGTTCGTGATGCTCCACGTGTCTCAACTGTTCGTAAAGATCAGGTACATAACCTAATCTTCCTAGATAGGTAGAAAAGACTGTACTTTTGTAGTTCAGATGTCATCTGAAGGTTATTTGAACTCTTTCAAAGCTGTCCTGTGGTCTTAGCAAAATGAGCTTGGAGTCCTTTATGACTAAAAACCACGTGAAATTGGTCTTTTTACCAAGCAGGTTGTGGATAACAAACTTGAAGCACCAAAGGAGGTTTTAGCCATAGAGTATAAGAAGGAAATCGAGGTGAAGGAAGAGGAACAACATGTGCCATCACCTCCTCTTCCTGAACCAGTGAAAGAGGAACAACCTCCCGTCGTTCCACCACCTGATTTGTTGGTGAGTCCCCAAATTCTTTTTTTCCTGCATAATCATTCACTTATCAGTTATTATGTATTGGTTTTTGAACATAGCACAAAAGTAGCACATCCTTTCTCCCAGGAGCGTTTTGTATGTCAGTTCCTCACAAGGCATTGTCGCCTACTTTTGTTTGACAGAACTTGGATGATCCTGCTACAGTTGCTTCCTCAGAACTTGATGAGAGAAATTCCCTTGCCCTGGCTATTGTCCCAGTGGGTAAGCTCTTTGATTCCCTATTTCTTAAATAGTTCTGAGTTCAGTAAGAACAGCCAGATCGCTCCTTTCCCCAGACCTGTTGCCTCAAGTGGGATTCCTTGTATCAGCAGCTTGTGTCTCATAGAATCTTTGGTTACTGAGCTTCCAAACTTAACTGTCGATGATTGAATAAGATATCCCAGGACTTGGATTTCAATTTTCGTTGGGTTGAGTACTAATAAATTGCATGCATAGATGGCTAATTTTATGCATAACTCTGATATCTCTTCTTGTAGGCGACCAACAACCTGCTGCTGCACCAACCCAAGCAAATGGAACTGGTTGGGAACTAGCATTGGTTACAGCTCCAAGTTCAAATGAAACTACCGCCGCTGCTAGCAAGTTGGTATGTTTACCATTAATTTCTGTAATGTTAGCTAGGGTTGGACATGTGGTGGGTTTGGTTCAACTTGCATTGAACTGCGCAAAAACCCATATTCAGCCTGCAGGCTACATCGTTGAGGTGTGACCCGAACAGCAAATTATTTGGTCATGGTGAGGTTTGTGATGTGAACATAGTGAATCGGTCTTAATATTGTTGTCAGGAACACCACCAGAACACAGTGAATTGGACTAGTTATTGCTGCACTTCGGTTCAACTGCCATTAAACTGCATCTGTTGGCCACCCCTTAATGTTAGCTTTGCTGATTCTTATCAATCGTTTTCTTTGTTGTTAAGGCGGGAGGGCTAGATAAACTCACATTGGACAGCCTATACGACGATGCAATGAGAAGGAATAGCCAGCCTACGAGCTACAACCCCTGGGAAGCCACCGCTCCAATGAACGGTCCAGTGATGCAAGCAGCCCCACACGATCCTTTCTTCGCCTCCAACGGAGTAGCTGCATCTCATAACGTGCAGATGGCGGCAATGGCCAACCAACAACAGGCTCTCCTGTGGCAGCAGCAGCAACAACAGATGATGATGATGACCACCCCACAGTTCCAACAGCAGGCAAATCCTTTCGCCAACCCTTATGGAGCTGCTGCAGTCCACCCCTACGGCTCAGGTATGCCGCCTCCCGTTCAAGCGTACCAACCATATCCAGGATACCTATGAGTGGAGGAAATGCCTG